GCCGTTGATGGGATTACACGGCGCCAGGGGGCCACTTGGTGGGTGTGACCCCCGCCTACTGGAATTTGGAGGATCTGGGTGGAGGATGCTCAGCCCAAATCCGAGTAGGCTTGGAGATCTCGGCCCCAGAACCCGCGTGACTTTGTCCCTCTGCCAGTACCTTCATGTGTGCGGAGAGTGGTCTCAGCATGGTGGTGGCTGGTCCTGGAGGTCTTTGGCTGCCGGAGCCCTGGTCAGGGCAGGGAGGAAAGCTCAACCCGCTCCCCTCCAAGGGGCCCCTGCGGCAAGGACAGTCAGGCGCGGGGGCAGGAGACTGCACTGTTCTCTTCTGGGAGCTGGTTTTTATAATCTCTGAGTCTTGGCCGTTGATGGAATTACACGGCGCCAGGGGGCTAGTTGGTGGGTGTGACCCCCGCCTACTGGAATTTGGAGGATCTGGGTGGAGGATGCTCGGCCCAAATCCGAGTAGGCTTGGAGATCTCGGACAAAATGAGCATGGAAATCTTTCATGTAAAAATGATAGAGAAGTTCAAGTGATTGGAATGGCTCTAAGATTAAGGCAAAGGGCAAGCAAGATGCAAATACATATGCACCATTCAGTATTGCACCCAGCAAGTAACACGTGGGTGCTACACACAAGTCTCACTGGGCTGTTTGACCTGCCACCAGGCTTCGGAGACTTGGGGAATTTTTGGTGAAAGTTCAGAGAAGGCAGATGCAGAGTCTCTGCCCTTCACAAGGGTAAATATGCATTTTGTTAAGTGATGATGAAAACATTATTAAAGAGATCACTGGTGGACTGGTGGACTCCCCCACCCCCCATTCAAGGAACCAACTGTACCTCAGAAGCAGCTTCCAGCGATCCTTCCTTCTCTAGTGCTGTATCAAGTATCTCCACCACACCATGAGCATGCAGCTCTGCTGCACTCTCCGCGAGGCCCTCTGTAGAAGTGATAACGTGCCACTGGGTCTTAGACGCAACTCAGAATATACTTAGACGCTAGAATAAATGAGACTCAATAAAACTCATTGGCCTGGCACACATGCCCGAAGCTCTTAGGAACCGCTTTACAAACCTGTCTGAGACACCCCAGGTGCAGTGGGGCTGTCTGAATTCTAGTTCTCTGATTATTGCATTCCATGTTATTGAAGTTCCATCAAAGAGTATTAACAGGTCTTGAGTAATATTTGTTCAGCATCGTTTTTTCTCCCCTCATTCTTAATAATGTTGATAAGACCAGAACAATCCTGGCTGATGTTCAAAGAATCCACATTATCTGAGAACCTACTTTTGCTGTAAGCATTTTGCTTAAAGCTGCAGTTTCCAAGAGTCTATCAGTAACACTGGGTGAGATTTTAATGTGGACGATTAGCAAGCTGGAGATAGAAAAACTATGTATTCTAGGATGCAAAATTCAGAAACTTGATTTGGGATATGACTCCAGTGCTGAATTGTTGAATGCCTGGTAACTCCCCTCAAGTACCCGAGCATTTGATCTTTACTAAAGGAAACCAGTGCTCTCCTCAACATGGCAGAAAGCAGCATGTGATAAACACCAGTAACCACAAGCATATTTGTGATGTTTCACCCTCATCTTCATGTGCTTATCTAAAAAAAACAGTAAAATATGCACCATGTCAAACTGTATCAGAAACTCAAGAAACAAAGATGCCATCAAAGAAAGTCATTTAATTCAAAAGTCACACTTCCACTCATTTCAGGGGATTGTCATGAACACCAACCAAATTTTCAGAGGCCACACCACAGAAATTGTATTGTCATTATGTATCTGCTTAGTGACATGGAAACACATTTTCAAAACCCTTTACATGGCAAAACTGGTTTACTAATAACAGGAATAAAGTTCTATTCTAGGCACCGAGTACATTTTACTTACAGAATTGGATTCTACACACCAGTCAATATTCAATACTGAACTGAAGTTTAAACAGTGCATTATTTATGGTTTTGAAAAAACATTAAAGTGCCATTTTATAAGTACTTTATTGGTATTATTATATCACACAGCACTTTACAGTATACTCAAAGGTAGCTTAAACTATGAATTAAACATGCAAATATTTTCTTCTCCAAAACATGGACAAAATGTGTTTAGAGTGCTTTTTTCCCCAACACTATGCCTAGTATAAGCTAATAAAAGTTTATGAGTTTTTTTAACACGATTTTTAATAAGCTAACAAGGAACATAGCTGTAGATAGCAACCGTCTGATAAATATGAAGAAGGTTGTAAAGTGGCACTTAATTTATATCTTTGATCACTGAATAATCAATTGACAGTTTCTCTTGTTTCTCAAATTCTCAACCTTTAAAATCTTGAATGCTGTGATGGTTCAAGCTGCCAGCTCATATGGGTCTCCACAGAGTCTGAATCTGTAATATGCCAATGTGCATTGTACAGATATGTATACAAACATACACGCCTACATACATGCTTTAGAAGGATCAGATGAACCTCTTATCACAGGTACAAAGTTGACCTTGGCAACTAGATATTCAAGGAAGCTGCTTGTTGGGGTATGTCTAGATGATTTTGTAGAAATGATGGCTGTCGAATGGTGTTGAATATCTTAGCTTCTTTTGAGAATTCTGTATCTTGATGATCAATTATGTTCCCACTGACTACATTAAAGAGATTCTTGGCAACATGGTCATTGCTACCTTGTACAAGCCTTTGCTACCCAAAGCATTGTGCACTGAATGATGAATTCATCTTCCAGTGTAAAAAATCTATAGAAATATTAATTGCTGAAGGCTGGAGAGATAACAATGATGGGGAAAAAGCAGTGACAGGAATTAAACCTGTGAATTCCAGACAGGTGCTTCACTTGGATTGGTCACTGCATGTTCTCTGGAACACTTCTGGGTACAGCCTAGGTGACCCCCAGCACTCTCTGGAGCCTCCTCCCACAAATATTGTCAACGTTTTCTGTGGTTTTCCCTTTAAAAAATTGTACTTATCCCATTTAAAAATCAAAAGTACTTCAGTAAGGTTCACCATTCTCTTTGTGCCTAGCGTTACTTCATATCCAAAACTTTTTCTTCCAAGGAAACAAATGCTTTCCCTAGAAAAGCAAGTTTCAGCAAGGCTGCCTCTGGACTCTAGATTTTTCCATCTGCGTCTCTCTCTACTTTGGGAAATTCTTTAGCTAGACAAGTACTGTAGGCGGTAAAGGTGGTGGTGTGGGGGGAGTTAATTATTCCTTGCTGGAGTCTTGTCTCAGGCATGCTGTAGGATTGTGCAAAGTTCAATCTGCTGCTGTTGTCATTTTGATGCTACAATTGCAGAGACGTGGTTCAGTGCTGGCAGATCAGAGTGGCTGCCAAATACATTTGAGCATGACAAGATAAATTTTTAAAACGCCAGTATGGGGTGTGATCGAGGACACCCAGTTGACTTAAAAGAGATAGGAGCACAGCTGTCTAGGTAATTGATTATACTCAAGTTTGCCAGAGATGATAGATAACTCCCTCAATAGAAAACCTTGGGACATTCCAAGTCAGATAGATAAGAGGCTCTTTGGTTTCTTCAATGCTAGTTATGTACTTGGGCAAGACAATTGTTCATCAAAAAAAAGTCAGTATTTGGACAAATTATGGGTGCCATGTTAGTACCTGTTGGCCCTGGATTCCTGTGGTTCTAAGATTGGGGAATTGAGACTTAATTTTGGGAATGCAAATCAGGAAGCTACCAGCAGCCACGAATAGGTTATCATGAGTCAATTATTTCTGTCTTCCAATCCCTCTATAATGGCTGCTTTCAGAGTCTATGAATCAAGAGTTTCTGATATGTCTAGAACTGCTGATTTTTGGGAGACATGAATTCCAGATCTGGAGGATTTCCCTTTGAGCCACAGGTATGGTATACACAAAGTGTGAAGTCTTGCCAAGAAGTGACCTCGGCACTAGCTGTGTTCCAGCTTGTTTGCCAATATCTGACTATTCATTTTCTTTTTGTTCCTCTGTCAAAAAAAACACTTGACAAGAAGAGGTGAACTGAAATTACGCTGAACAAAGAGAGATTTGTGTGACAGAAGAAAATATACATTGGCCATAGAAATACTGAACCATTCAGTTAAAAAATGTCTCCAATTCTAGAATACCAAAGAGGACTATGCTGAAAAGCATATACCCCTTATATGCTATTCTCTAAAGTCTGAAAAGAGTATCAGCAGCACTAAGCAAATCAGGAATTTATGCTCGTGGACAGAGAGAAATATAAAACTAGTTATATTCTCATGGCATAGCATTCATTAACTACTGAGTTCTGTGAGAACATGGAGAAACTAATCTTAACATCCCCCAAAGAATCAGGCTATGATTGTCTAATGGACTCAGAGCCTTCCCAAAAAAAATGGTTACAGCACTGGGTTACAGGGAATCCCAGGGATCCTGGTCAACCACCCTTTGTTGTTCTTTGCAGTCAGTTTATGCCCCAGATCTGCCTCCAGGTTCCCTCTTCAAGGAGAGAGTTGGTGGCATAGACACTGGAGAGGGTAAATTTTATTTTTAGTCTTTAAGTCTTTAAGTTCCTATTTGTTGGCTCAAGTTCTGAACAGTTGCTCTGGTTCTGCAGCTTACAGGGAGGAGGTGAGCCTGGTTGGGGAAAGGGAAGCAGAGCCATCTGTCACCGGCCCAGCATGGTCCAGAGAAGCTGGGAAGGGCGCGACCTAAAAATTCCCACTGGCAGCAGCTCTGGTTCCCTCAAGGCAGGGCCAACGGAGAGAAGACACACTTCCAGGTGGTGGGGCTGGAGCCAAATGTCGACAGGTGTGCTTCAGGGAGGGACTCCTGGAGCCAGGGCTGTGCCACCTTCTGTGCCTCCGAGAGGCTACACTGAAATTTCCCATGGGACGAGGGGGTGAGTTGAAATGTCAAATATGTTACAAGCATTGTGTTGGACTTTTTTCCATTAGGAAAACAGTGGATTGTGAGCGTTCCCCCGCCCCTCCCCATTTCTCCCAGACCCCTCAGAACAGGTCCCTAAGATATTCACAGTCGGGGTGGGGAGGGGGTAGATGTAGCCTATGCAGATAGTCCCCCGTTACCCTTTTTTGGTTTTCAACGATTGCTGTCTTGAGTCTTCCTTACTTAGACTCACTTTTACTTCTTGTTTCCTAATTTAGTACTCGAGTCTGGTTGTCTCCTGGACAAGTTCTTTCACTAACAAAAGCCTTATAATTTTGAATTGATAAAACTGCATTGCAATGACAATCTCTCACTAAGTTTAAACCACAGACTCTCAATTGATAAAAAAAATAATTAAAATAAAACCCTCAAGTTCTACCAAACAATTCCCACCCTTCTTTTTTTTTTGGTTTGTATGTGAGGGAGACTTACAGAAAGTCTGAGATGAACATTAAGAATACGAACATGTTTAGGGTAAGGGGAAGCAGCAGATCAAGAACTACAGCTCTTAAAAAGTTAATTTTTCTTAGATACACACAAAACTCACAAACTAGCTTGGCCTCACTTATAAGGTCTTTGAAGATGTATAGAAGAGTCTGATGTAAGGAGCAAACAACTGTCTCATCTCCTTCATCCTGATGTCTTGGGGTACCAAGAAATACACCTGAGAAGAAAAACAGAAACAACAAAAAACTAACCCCTGCCCCCACTTATTTAAGTCCTGAGCTTTATCTTGCTACTGAGATCTTCAAAAATAATAACCACTGCCTGAAGATGTTCCTTTCATCTCTAAATCCACAGTCCAAGAAATGCTCAGAAACACATCGGAATTAAGGCTGAACATCCAGGACAGGCCAAGCTTACAAGAGTCAGCAGAATGTACAGAAAAATCTTCCCCTTCTTCAAGGCCACCGCGTCTTGACCTTGACCTTCTTTGACCTTGCCTCTCCTCTCTCCCTCATCCTCCTTGTTCAGCAATCCAAGCGTAAAGGTGTGGAATATCAAATATAAAACTTTGCCATATAGTATTTCAAATCACTCTATTTACAAGTTTATCTTAAAAAAAAAAGTAGAAGTACAGTAATGCAACACAATTCAAGTTTTCCTTTTCTTCTTTAAAGTTCCATAAAGAGAATTCCAGAAGCAGGAAGCACTCTCTGGAGTAACTTGGTCATCCTAAGAGGCTCCTGGGGAGTCTCTGTCCGTGAGCTTATGGGGGTGTCAGCCCAGAGGCACTCTTGCGTGGAGAAACAATCGTTCCTTTGCTGGCCGAGTGAACCGGAAACGTCCAAGGGGAACTTCCCCACCCGCACCCCCACCAGGGCCAGTCCCTTTCAGATTAGGAAATTCTTGTTCTGGAAGGCAGCCACCCCACACCTTACAGGCCCCCGACCTGTGGGTATCCTCATGAATCATCCTGGCTGATACCAGATTCATTCTCTAAAAGCCTGAGAAACAATTCCCTTTTTTGGAGTGGCAGTGAATCTTTTCAACTATAGGCTATATAGGGCTAGTCCAGGAATCCTCCCTGAAAATCACCCGCTAAGTAACGCTCAGCAGCCCAGGGCACTGTGAAGGGGCTGGGGGCAGGGTATTCAGTGAGGGGTCGGGGGCAGCGCGGGGCAGGGGGAGAGATAGGTCAGTGGACGAGGCCCAGAAGGAATGAAGAAAGGAATAGGCCCATCCTGGGAATAGTGCAAAGCCCTCCAGGAAGGAAAAATGGTTAAGCTTCTGAAGTAACTTAATTTCAAGAGGTTACTAGAATTTGCTCCAAACTGATGCGACTGAAATTCACCAGAGAAGGAGGAAAGGCAGTCATTGTGTCTGCCTCGAGAAGCCTGCTCAACTTTGATTTTCTGCTTTGGGTGGTTAGAAAGACCATTTAAGAAACTACCACAAAAGGAGGAGAGGAAAAAAAATTATCATGCAAAGAGAGTATGTTATTTTTTGGTTTGGTTTTAGAGTAGGCTGGGTTGCCATGGTTACTGGGTGATGCAGTGCTTAGAGGCAGAGAAGTTCCTAGCTTGGGAGAGGGGCATGTAGGGTGTAGGGGTGTGTGTGTGTGTGTGTGTGTGTGTGTGTGTGTGTGTGTGTCTGTGTGTATGTGTGTATTTTCCCTTGCATGAGAGCACTGGACTGAATCTTACTGATTTTGGACCAATGGCCACTACAGAGATGGTAAGAGATTGGGTCTCATGTAAATGGTGCCATAACCCCTCTCCACCCTGCATGCAAAGATCCAGACTCACTGCCCGTAGCACTGTGGGTCTCAAGTATTCAGGGGAGGGAGGCACACATCTACTGTAAACAAGAGGGGTGCACCCAGCCTGAGCTCTGAGCTACTGCCCATCCCTGTCTGACCCCCTCAAACACTGCGCAGTCTTGGGTCTTGGGGCCTACCCAACATTTTACTTTTCTTTTGCAGAAGGCTGGGGGTTTGGGATGACTGCTGAAACAAAAGGAGTGTTCCGAGTTCAGGTGCTCACGGAGGGGAACAAAGCTGCCAGCCTTTCCCTCAGTTGTCAAAAACTGAATAGCCTCCCATTGATAGATATGCTTCTGTTTCAGGCAGTGTGAGTTGAGGCTGAGATGATCACAGGACAGGGTGACACCGGCGTTCACAGAAACATTTGTGTTGACAGGTAGCAGCAGAGTCAGTCACTGTCCATTCCTCAGTGTCACAGAGAAATGGCCTCCAACAGTGGAATCAGCAGTTGTCATGGATACCACGGACCACTCAGCAGTCGTGTTGGGGACCAGGGTTAGAGGAACTCCACATAGTTCTCAGGGATGAGACCAGTCTTTCCGTTCAGAGTTCCCTCCAACCAGCCAGGCTCCTGTGACGGGTGAACTGGATAGAAAGGAGAGAGAGAGGGAAGGACGTATGAGATAAAAGGTTACAGTTAGGATAGGAGGTGGGGGTGTGTGAAATTTTTTTGGGGGGGATGCACACAAGTATGTGGAAGAAGTTTGGGTGGTGAGTGCTACTGTTCATTGAATCTGATAATTCTAGGACTTGCTTGAACTAGAGATTCTGACCCTTTATGGGACATGCATAAAATATCTGCTGCAGATATATTCTTCAAAATATATATTCAAAATATATTCTTCACAATAAAAAGGGAAATGATTACAGGCATTCAACAGGTTATAGTTATAGGATTTTTTTTTAAGGCCAGGAGGATCACTCTACAGGCATTTTATTTGTCCTTCCAAAGCTCCTGGTTTAAATTCTAAAATCAGAACAAGAGACTCTGACTTCGTGTGTTAAAGATCCTGGACACGGTGCTCCAGTAGAGACCCTTACAGTGTCTGTTCAGTGCTACCTGTACCCCCAGGAGAGTCCACAGAGAACAGCTAAGAGACTGTCTTTAGACATATCTAGCTCCTAATAAAGCATCTTACTTTTCTTCAAATTCTAACCACTGCTACTCATTTCCTTGGAAATTCCCTCCACACATATATATCATATATTTGTACATTCCATTAAAGGCATTTTACAGCATTACTTTTTTCTGCTCCTTCTTAGTTTTGTTTCCTGCGCTATAAATTTTTATTCCCTCTTAGGTATAGTTGAAAGATGCCCTCTTCTTAAAAAAAATTCTGTCCCTTTGAATTTTCAATATTTAAAAATATTTTTGAATTTTCAATATAAAAAATATTTCCTTTTCTTTGTCACCTCAATGGAAACTAGATGCTGTATTATTGTAAACACTGTATAAAATCTAGCGAGTCTGCAAAGTAGGCAAGAAGAGGTTAAAAAGAGAGACGAATCCTGGAACTGGGAGATTGGGAGCTATTCAAGTTTGTTAATGGGAAATTAGCAAATCACTTCTGGATGAGGGAGGACATTTGTTCTTACTGTATGAGGGAAACTCCATTTTTCTGAAACTGCCTGAGAGAATGAATTTTCCCCAATTCATTTCCTAGGCTTGTTTAGGTGACTTCCTGTGCCTCTTTTAGAAAAGCATTTCCTCTTCCAACATTACTACATAACGCTAGTCTCAGTTTGTAGAGAAAGAGGCCAGAATAGAAACAAGCTAAAGGAAGCACATGGGGATATGCAAAGGTGCTCTGTCATACGGCGAGGCTTACAGAAGCTCTTGGTCAGCCAGATCTAGCTCTTGAATGCACGTTTAGGAAAGGACAAGGTCCAACTTCTACTAATCGCCACCAGAATGTCTGCATACTTTCATATGATTTGTTTTAGGAGTAAGTCCAAAGCTGTCAGGTTCTTTGGATTTGGGACCCCCCACACAAGAAGTCTGGGAGTAAAGTACCATGAACGCACATTTAAAAGTTCCTTGGCCTGTTCGGTTACTGAGACCTCCCATCCTGGCTGTAAAATATTATCCCTCAAAGAATCCGGCCTTCCGCCCACACTCCCAGCTAAAGCTGTCAGGATCATTTCAGTTTCTGCACTGAAGGTGGTTAGAAACAAATGAGTTTCCTCCTTCGTAGGCTCTTGTGAGAGTTCAAAGACTCAACAAAAGTCATGGAGAGGGGCCGGAACAATAGTACAGTGGGTAGGGCGTTTGGCTTGCACACAACTGACCGGGGTTCTATCTCTGACATCCCATTGGGTCTCCTGAGCACCGCTAGGTTCAATCCATGAGTGAAGAGCCAGGAGTAAGCCCTGAGCACTGCTGCTTATGGGCCACCCAAAAACAAAACAAAATGATAACAACAACAACAACAACAACGAAAGTCATGGAGAAAGCACTCAATGGAGCCTGGACACTGTGAGGATTCAGCACAGGGTAGTCAGCTTGGGGACCCCTGTGTCACCTGATCAGTGAACAGGACTCTTCCTTGGTAAAAACTGGGTCAGGGTCTGGTTTCAACATCCACTTAATCTTCTGGAAACCTTAGATGTTCAGGATCCAAACCAAATATATCCAAATAACTCCGCCAAACAAATGACTAAAGCAATCAACCAAGCAGTCAGCTAACCTTGCACCCATCCACCAAAACAAGCCAAGAACAGCCAAAACAAAACAAAACCATGCCCACTTTACCGCTTTCACAGCTATTATTCCATTGGGCACACTAAGTTCATCTGCTGCAGACACTCCACCTTTTCAGCTAGCCATCCAAATACAGATCAGGTGCTGAGGTAGTAATGCACAGGATGGTAGAGACATGTGCAGATGGAGGGAACCAGAGTTAACAGGAAAGGCCCTCCAGAAATGAGAACAAGATAGAGAGGTGCCATAGGGGATGGGTGGCACCAAGGGGGCCTTTGGGCCAGGTTGCTGACTCACAGGAATTATAGCATTGGGCTCTGTGAAGGCATGGTCCAGGGCCATGTGTGTCAGAATCACCTGGATGCTGCGATTCCTGGGCCCTGTGGAACATCAACTAAAGTGGGACCTCGCAGAGGAGAAACTAGGGATCTGTTGGTGCAGTTGTCGACAGAGAGTTAACTGTCATTATTTTGCTGTTACTAAAGGCCTCTGTCATGAGAGGGGAAATAAGATTAAAAATGTAAATTCTTCTTAACTGATGGAGGAGGAAGGCAGCACCAGATGCCCTCCTGCTTTGCTACCTTCTGTTTCCCTCTCTCATATTTCAAGGCCCAAAGCCAGCTCTATAAATACTATTATGGAATTCCATCTTCTTGCTCTATCCCTCCACCAGACTCTTGTAATTCCCTTGATACTTTCCACTACTTCTCATGTGTCTTATTAATGCTATGCAAATGTGTCGAGCTTTGTTTTCCTAATGACTTTTTTGGTGCATTTTGCATGTAATTCATACAATGTCACTCAACATTCTTTAGTTGACTCTTCTGTGCTCGAAGAAAATGAGTTAAGCCCTACAGTGGTGACAGCAGGAGTCCAGAGCCTTAGAGAGACATGGGTGGATTGTATCTTCAAGATCTTAGCATCTATCTAGATTCTTCCATCTCTTCTATGATAAAAACATTAATGTTCAGAGGGGTAAATTAATATGTGCATGGACACATGGTAGAATCAGAATTTCAATGCAGTTTGTTTGACTCAGAGAGTTTTTTCTCCATAGGTCTATTCCACAGAGAATGGATCCTTGAGGAAAACAATGATGATGCATACGTCGAACACAGACTAAGCAGTGGGTCTTCTACCTAAACCTGCAGGTCACCTCATTTTCATCAAAATGACTAACGAAGCTGGCTCTACAGTTATGCTCACTTTAGTGATAAGAAACCAAGGATCATGGAGGTGAAGCATCTTGCGCCAAGTCACACAGCTCGCTGATGCTGGTGGTGGATCTGAATCAAGGCCATGTGATATAGGGCCCATGGTCTGCTTTTGTATGCCTGGTGCTCTGGACAGTGCGGATGCTCATAAGCGCTCACCGGGATGAATTGCTCCAATGTCCAAACTTTCTGAATCAAACCTGTGTCTGATATGATGTGTCATACAAGGTACCGCAGGGTGCTGTGTGGGCAGCTCTCTAGCCCTGCAGGCATACCATAAATATGAGCTTTGGCTGCAGATCTGGACGTGCTTCCTGCCACCCACTTTCTCTCAGCTCTGTGCATGTGTGTATCACATATTCCTACATATGCAACTCGTGTTCTCTCCCCTCCTTTTGCTCACTGCAGACAAGGAGCATGTGTGTCATTAAGGTCTTTAATTCCTTGTTATCTCAAGGGGAAAAGACAATGCCTGGAAGGAGTGCTGACTACTCTGTAGCTTAGTGCATTGACTTAGTGAGAGTTTACCAAGCATGATTTTGTAACAATGGGATGTAAGTTTTTCTACAGTGCTGGACTATAAAGGTGTCTTGAGTCAACCCTGCCACTGTTGGGCTACAGATAATATGTAAACAAAAAAGTGTGACTGTGATCTAATGATTCAAGGGCACGGTGCAGCCTGTGAGAGAGAGATCAGAGTTGCCTGCCCTCTGTGACAACGTGCGGGCCCCAGAGGACTCTGGAGACAGAGCATCATGCTGGGGCGAGGAGGCAGAGAGAGCAGGAGTTGGCTGTAGTGTTCTCATCAATTATTCTTCTGTTTGGTTTGGGGGCCACACCCAGCAGTACTCAGGGCTGAGTCCTGACTCTATGTTCAGGGCTAACTCCTGGTAGGGTTTGGGGGACCCCACGTGGTGCTGGGGATGGAATCCAGGTCGGCTGTGTGCATGGCAAGTGCCCTACCTGCTGCACTATCTCCCAGCCCCGCTCTTGTAGGTAACTCTAAGAGAACAAATTCCAGGTATTGGGTGCAAGAAAAAAACATCATGTGATTCCTATCCCCGCCCCCATCCCCCAAAGAACATTCAGTTGCTCTCTAGAGAGTGGACAATGGTGGAGGCGAGAGAAATAAGGCAGCGGGCAGAAAGGTCCAGGTGAAAGGTGGAGATGGCAGGAAACAGCATCAGGGAGGCTAAGCGACTCCTAGGAGGATACCCCAGCAACCTGCTGGCCCCAGGTGACATTATCCACTGTCCGTAGAGGAAACTTGGGGCCCCGCACTCCTGTCTCACCCTGTACCCAGGCGATGGTGAGACGACCCACCTCTGATTGATCAAAGTATCCTAAGAATCCAATTTTAGTAAGTGCCATCTGAATTTTCGAGGTATCACTAATCACATTGCTTCACGATGACTAATGTTCCTGAGAACATGCATGTCTCTCTTTCCAGTTACTGGTGGAGGTGCTCTTACTGAAGTGAAGAGTTTCCCAGGAGGTAGGGAGGAGCTGACACTGGAGTTCTTTCTGAGTATTACACATCCATGCCCTGCTGCTCAAAGTCCAAAAGCTGACGGGGCAGCCCTCTAGAATCACAGCACAGGGCCCTGGAATCCTGAGGCTTAGGTATTAACAATCAGGGAGCAACAAACCTTCCCCAACATGCCCCTCCCTTGCCTCCTTATCCATTCTTCTTGATACCAAAAAAGCTCGTGCGTGCGCATACACACACACACACACACACACACACACACACACACACACACACATACATTCTTAACCTGTCATTAGCAACTTTCTTCTGATTGGTCTAATGACTTAATCCAATAGCAACAGAGTACTCGATTTATGTAGCCCCGGATCTCACACCTCCAGCAGGAAACTCGAAAAAGAGAGAGAGAGAGAGAGAGAGAGAGAGAGAGAGAGAGAGAGAGAGAGAGAGAGAGCACAGTAAATTCGAAACTGATTGTACTGATTATAGAATAGGAATAGAGTCTTCCTGGCCAAAACATTAAGAAGGTTTTTTTTATTTGTTTTTCTCCTTTAATGCCTCACTTCTTTGATGGAAATAAAGGGAGGAAGAAAATAAGCAAGAGATTTTACTTTTAAAGATGGACATCCTAAAACGTTATACAAAAATTCAATCTGAAAAGTGGACTGATGTTTTGTCCAACTCTTCTTCTTCAGTGGACGTGGAGGGATGTTTTCTTTGGGTCTGAAGATGACCTTTTGCTCTTAGGGAGCCTGAGGGTCATGGGCACTGCTGGTTAAAACAAAACTAGTGGCAATGAACTCTGTCATGACTCCTGGAGGCTGCGGGAAAGCCGGGGTTAGACTGACTCATCACACCAAACCTCAGTGATCACTATAAGATTTAGGGAGATCACCAAGTCACTGGGTGGGGAGAAGTCACAGAACCTGCTGGGAAAGAGAGAAGGAGAAGTAAAACAACATCACCCCCCTCCTCAACTCCCCCTGGGAGCACTGAAACCAAAGCGTGTGCAGGCACTGTAGATAAGTGGATAACCCCTAGCCCCTCCCCCTGCCTGCCCCAGAATCATAACAGTCACAACAAGAAAAGGGAAGGGGGAAAAACAAAACTGAAAAAAAATATCAGTTAGGGAACTCTTTTTTCCCCCCTCTTTTGGTTGGCTACTAAAACTACTTCAACAAAGTCTTAAAAATGTAGACAGCAGGACCGTTAAATCAAACAACTCTGTGAAACGGTTTGGCGGGTCCTCACATGGTTAACTGGAGTTATTGAATGATGAGGCAGTCTCACTCCTAGGTAAGCTGCCAAGAGGCTTGCTCCCTGCCACGTGAATATGTACAGTGGCACTGTAATAGCTGAAAAGCGGAAAGGCTCAAAATGTCCCTTCACTGATGAATGGATGAATAAAGTGTGATCTATTCGCACAATGGGAACATATTCAGTCATTAAAAACAGGAATGAAGTTCTGAGTCGGGATGCAGGACAATTGAGAAGTTATGCTAAGTAACGAGTTTCAAAGATCATTGTACAAATTCCATTTATATGAACTCTCCAAAGCCGGCACACTGACTGAGCCAGAAAGTAGATTAGAGGTGACCTAGAGATAGGGCAGAGCTGGGGCCTTACAAGGTACAAGCCTGTGAGAGGGATTCAGGGCTTATTTGGAGAAGAGAAAGATAGTCTGGAATTAGAGAACTGTGATGGTTGCAAAACTGAACACATGAACCTCCTATGGGTGTACAAAATGGGCAATGTGTACTGTATGTTCACAGTACATACAGCCAGGGTAATTGAGTCTTTTTTTCCCCCTGTGGCTTTTTTTGGGTCACACCCAGTGATGCTCAAGGTTTACACCTGGTTCTGCACTCAGGAATTACTCCTGACAGTGCTCGGAGGGGGGGTGGGTATGTGGGATTCTGGGGATGAAACCCAGGTAGGCCGCATGCAAGGCAAGCACTCTACTCACTGTACTATTGCTCTGGCCTCTCTCCCTCTCTTGCACTCACTCACTTGCTCTCTCTTTCACTCTCTTGCTCTCGCTTTCTCACTCACAATTTCACATTGGCAAGAGGCCAGAGGCAATAGAATCTCTTCAAGTTCTGCTATAATCCCCGGCATCCCACGTGCAAGGCAAATGTCCTACCCCCTGTCCTATTGTTCCAGCTCCCAATGAAGTCATTTTTTTTAAAAACAGAAGAAGAACAAGCCTATACTCCGGAAAAGAAATCACAAGTGCCGCACCCCTTCTTCTTTGGAGCCCTAGATGCTCCCTGAGGAGATCACTGCTACACTGGGATGGGGGTCCTCTGTGCTGTCAGGATGAAGCACGCCGAAGGAAATTTGGTGCGGTCATGAGCTGGGCCCTAGAGAAGAGCTCTGACGCTCCAGGTTCAGTGCCAATGTGGGGATCTCTCCATTCTCGCAACGCTTCTTGGCAAGAGCTGCTGAAGCAGAACAGCCCGAATCCTGTGTATATTTGTGTGTTGTGTCATGCCCTATAGGACCTTGGACTCCTGTCACTGAAACTATCCAGGGTGCCCAGGAGTTCCTAATTCATGTCCTCCAGGGCTGAACTTCTCTGTAGGGACTTGAAGGCTCCAAAGGTGGAAGTTTTGATTTGTAAAGGACAGAAAAGAAAGTTAAGGGAGCAAAGCTTTAAGGCTACTGCTTCAGGGTTTGGAGATATTACCAACAGACCACAGGGAGGAACTGGCTGACTCTGTAGGACACTCCAGGGCTCAGAGTGCGTAGTGTCCACTGTGACCAAGTGCTCTGTGATCTCTTGCTCATTCAGCTACCTTGGCCCCATGAACATCTCTCCATGCTGAAGGCAGGGGTGGGAGGTTGTATCCTGAGGAACCCATCTCTGCTCTGGTGTGGCTCTCCAGGGCCCTGGGAGTGAAGGGGCACCACCCAGAGCCAGTTAGATGGGATCAGATCCAGAAAGTTTAGCCCCTCAAAAAGAACTCCATCTTGGGAAAGAGCTCAGAAATGTGGGTTTTGCCCCAGAATTCTGATGTTTCCCCTTGGCAGATGGCACATTATGACAAAGTACGACAGCTACTCAAGGAAGCACAATTCTCCAGTTATTATCATCATCATTTATGTGTGTCTGTTTGGGAGGGTAACTCCTGTCAGTGCTTAGGACTTACTGCCGCTGTGCTTTGAGATCACTCCTGGTGGGGCTCAAGGTACCATATGGGATGTTGGGGATTGAACCAGGTTTGGCTCCTTGTAGGGCAAGTGCCCGACCTGTTGTACTATCTCTGCAGCCCCTAGTGCTCAGTTCTATAGGCCAGGTTTCCTGAGCAGGCCTGCAGGCACTGAGCAGAGCAATTTAATCCTGGGGTATCCACACTCTGCTCTCCAAAGAGACCCATGTGCACACGTGCATGTGCTGAGACACACACGCACACACTCCTAGTCTCCAATTTTATCGAGAACTCCTGAAGAGCCCAGTTACATGCTCTTTTTTCCACATGGACGAGAAACTCACCATTATCGAAGATCGTGCCTGCTGTGAATGAGAGCTCGGAGTCGTGTTCAGCTTTGCAGGCGTACAAGGCCTTAGCTTTCCGGAACGGGGTGCTGTGTGGAAACAGGAGCCTATTATGAACATGTCAAAATCCGCCGCACCCCAGATGTTTAACCTTCCTCCTCCCCTCTCCCTACAAGCCACTCATCTTCTTTCTCGGGGGAAGAGCCTGAGTAGGCAGCCAGACAGCAGAATGTGAGGAAGACAAGCTGCAAAGACCACAGGAGAAAAGTGAGAATGATCCAAGGAAAAAGCCTTAAGTTCAAAGAAACCTTGTGCCAGGCTGAAAACTTGACCTAGGCGTTTTAACAGCTGGACAGTGGGAGGGCAGGCAGGGCCCTGTTTGGGGAGGAGGGTGGGGGGCAGGAAAGAACTTCCAAGTTGTTGTAGAGAACACTTTTCCAAACCTCTGGTGAAAGTTGGTAAGGCAGTGAATCAAAAAGGAGAAATTCTAGCACAGCCAGCTGGAGGACTGATACTTTCCCAGGCGTTTCTCATGGGGCTGGTGGAGCAGGATTCCGGAGTCGGAGCTCCCTGAGCCCCGGGGTAGGGAACAGACAAGGTGTGCGTGTGAGCAGCTACACAGAAGTGTTTGAGCACACGTGCACACATGCTTGGGGGCTTCAGGGAGGGGGAAAAAGGGATGGGATGTGAGAAGTATCTTGTCACATCCTAGGGGTAACCACCACCACTTGACACTGGGAACTAATTCTTGTAAATAACAAAACAAGGTAAACATTTGGGTTCTACCCAGCCTTGCAGATGCAGCTATAAACATCAGTATATTTTAAAAGCTCTTTCAGTGAATATAATGTGCAACCTAAGGAAGTGCAGTGCACATAAGCAGAAGCTGTCAAGTCAAGCTCTCTTGGTAAAGGGTGAGCTTTTGTGGGTTGCGGGGAGGTGTGGAAATTTGCCACAAGCAATCACCTCCACCCTCTGAGGAGGCATACTTAGGGGCTTCAGGACAGAATGAATAGAGGAGTAGATCCCTTAGGTCAGATAGTTATTCAAAGTATATATATTACTTATTGTCTGTTACTCAGAGAGAGCTGCCAGGACCCAATGAGGGTAAATCTGTCATGGCTTACTGATTCCCAGTGAGGGATGGTCTGGTCCAAAGTAAATGCAAATTATATCACAAAAGGTGGGTATTTTGCCTCCTGCTGACCCACTGCTTTAGCTTGGGAAAAAGAGGCATGAAGGCACCTTGGGAAAAAGAGGCATGAAGGCACCAAAATCATGGGTCAAACATCCAAAACTTCTCATCTTGCTCCCGTGAACACTGAGTCGAGTCAATGGTTACCTAGAATTTGTGGCAGGGGTTTCATTTACTGTTTATGCTCTATGATCTTTTAATAGTCAAGAGATGAAGATGGGCAGATTCATTAGGAGAGTAGTGGAAAATGTGGTGGGTTCGCTGAGAATGAAGGAAGGGAAGTCTTTGGAATTTATCAACTCCAACTGGAAAAAAGCTTTTCCTGCATAATTAGCAGTGAAAAATGTTCAGGACAAGGGGCACATTCTGTGATCTAACTGAACCAAGTCTTCATGTTGGCCAATAAAGGCCTAATAGCCCATGTGCCTGGTGGGGGTGGGGGTGGGGGCTGGGTTTCTTTATTCAAGGGAGTAAGGCATGACCTGGTTATGCAAAGTGCAAAGCTAGACCCAAGCTGAGCGCAACAACCACGTTTTGACAAGGAGGGCAGAAGCCCAGTTAGCCAGGATCTGAGTGACCAGGCTCTACAGTTGGTCACTGTCCCTCAAGGACAGAGTAGAGTAGGTGGGTAAAGAGCAGAGACCGATCTGCAGGGACAAGGTGAGGGAAAGGTCATGTGAGGTCAGGCTCCTGTGGCTGGATTTTCATAGAGGTTACTTATTAATCACATTAGATAAAGGGAACGGGACAAAAATGAGAGCAAACCAGGGAAACCAACTGGGGTGTCTGGCTGAAATAAAGTAGAGGGAATGGTCACAGGTGCCCAAGACTCTCATTCAAGAGAAGTAATTTTCCACTAATATCAGACTTCTGGGATGGAATGAAAAAGTGACAATTAAAAATATTAAAAATAAAGGTCAGGAAAGTTAAAAAAAATTATTTTTGGTTTTTTCTTTTTGGATCATTCCCAGGGGTGCTCAGGCTTCCTCCTGGATCCACAGTCAGGGATCCTAGTGGGGCCGGGAGACATTATGGGGTGCTGGGGATTAAACCTGGATTGGCTGTGTGCAAACCTTGCTTGCTGGACTAGCACTCTGGCCCTTTAGAAATAGTTTCCTCTCAAACTAAGAGGTGAGAGAGGTTGTAAGAGTTTCTTCCCTTAGGGTCCCCCCACCCTCACAGGGCAGCCCAAATGGGAGACACGACAGAAAGGAAATTTCCGAAGGGTGTGGTCATGTTCCCCAGAATGGGGCCAGCAAATAAAATATAAGACTTCCAGTAAATTTAAATTTTAAATCACAGATGAATAGTCATTTGGTATAAATAGGTCCTCAATATTACATAGGACATATTTACACTTAAAAAAAAAACCCCGCTGGCTATTTACGATGAGAATTAAGAGGACATTTGGCATTTCAGTTGTAGCTGCTAACTTGAGCAACCCCACAGTGGGAGAGGGTTTATCTTCTTTCAAGTTAGTGGCCTGAGTTCAGTGTTTCAGGTCCCACAATGCCCCGCAAAGCCCGGAGCAGTGTGCTGGAGGGGATTTTCCTACTGAGGCCGATCTGAGGGCAGAGACTCTGCTTGCAGCCTCCGGCTCTCTTTAAAGAAATCAGAAAGTCCTGCAAATCGCCTTTGGTTCTTTAGCACCCCGTCTTCCCATTCTTGCCCTGCACCCTGACTCCAGACCTGGGGAGCTGGGAGGGGACGTGAGGGAGGCTCTCCGTGGCTCCTCTGTGAATGCCCTTCAGACCTCAGCTTGGCCTTCAAGGGCATGAGCAAGTTTGGAAGCTTCTGCTAGCTCATTTTTAATTTTCGCCTCTGAGCATGGCACCAGGCCAGCAGAGCACTCAGAGGAGTTTCCCTCAAATGCCCTTGCAAGCCTTGCAAAATGACAACCAGCTCGTCCCCGTACGGCACTGGGGAGGTGGGGTAGCCAGCAATGGCTGGATCCTGTAGGGCCAGTTTCCAGAGATCCCTGTAAACTGGCATGTGATGACTTGGGGGAAGGGAGTTTCTTCTAAGGGAGCATCCGGAAGGAGAGGGGCATGTGAAGGGAAGGTTCTCTGGGCACCCTTGTTCTGCTGTGGTGGCAGAAGCATCTGCATTCTTGAGCCTGAACACACATGGCACCGAGAGGGCTCTAAAGTGGGTGAGGAGATAGTATGTGGAAAGCTTATGAAGCAATTAATTAGGTCCAATGAAGTATTTGCTTTAAGAGCCTTTTCCAGAAAAAGCATTTCTTTTCCAGGGAAGGAAGTATGTTATATGTTGTGGAGGTGCCCTGAGGTGAAGGCCTCACCAGGCGTGAATAATAGATGTATGCCCCCACCTCTTGGCTACCCACTGCAACAGCAGGTAGGGAACTGGAATGGGCCCTCTCTGTGGGCTACTTCCCCTGGGCTCACTCTCCGGCAGTGTCCCTACTCAGGCTCATCTTGGCACAGATATTTAACTCGGTGGCAGTTAATTCCACATCTGTTCTGCCTTGTTGCAAAATGCTGGCTTCGTAAAGAAAGGGAGGTGGAACAGCAGGGCCCAAATGGTGCTATTCCAACAGTAGCCAGAGTGGGCAGTAGTGAGTAAGCAGCGCTTGAACAGTCTATTGCCACTAGCCTCTTGCCAATTGGGAAAGAGAGGGCAAGAGAGTGAGAGGGAGAGAGAGTGCAAAAGAGAGAGTGAGTGAGTGAGTGAGTGAGTGAGCGAGCGAGTATGTGCAAGAGTGAGTGAGTGCAAGAGAGGGGGGTTGGCAGAGCAATATTATGGTGGGTAGGGTGCTTGCCTTGCATGTGGCTGACCTTGGTTTGATCCCCAGCATCCTATATGGTTCCCTGAGCACTGCCAGGAGTAATTTCTGAGTGCAGAGTCAGGAGTAAGCCCCGAGCATTGCTAGGTGTGACCCACAAACAAACAAAAAACCACCTCCCCAAAAGAGAGAGAGAGAGAGAGAGAGAGAGAGAGAGAGAGAGAGAGAGAGAGAGAGAAGGAAGGAAGGGAGGGGAGAGACAGAGAGTGAGAGAAACAGAGACAGAGAGATACAGAGAGAGACAATACCAAATCCCCAAACCTGTAAAATATTTTAGAAGATGAAAAAAGTGGAGAGGACATACTACGGGCTCCAGAACTCAGAGCTCTAATATCTTCAAATTAGAGATTATTGGTTTCTGACTAAATGATTCTGCTGTCCTGAGTTTATTTTAAGGGAGCCATGTTCTGTATAGTTTTAATCTCTTTTATGAAAATGAATGCCCATGTTTCTCTTCCAAATTCCCAATGCATTTTGGAAAGTGACTGTCTCGGCCACTGTGGTTTGTCAGCTCGTACTGGTTGAGGGCCACATAGGGTAATCAATGTTGGAATCAAAGCAACCCATGCTCCAGCTGATGGACCTCAAGGACCCAGACTAGGTCTGAAACATAATTCAGATATAACTTAAAAGTATCACCTGCATTTTGACCTTATTCCGAAGATGAAGTAGAAAGAATATATTGAAAATCTACTCCCCCCACCCTCCACCCCTTCTTCGAGGGCAAAGCTAAAGAGGAAATTTGGAAGGTTTGGAAGCAAGAAAGGTTCTGGGGCTTTACAAGGAAAGTTAAATTTTGGGTCACCCATATGTTTGGAAGAAAATGTTAGGTGGAGAACAAGGAATCTTGAATTCTGGATTCACTCTTATGGAAGTATGGAACTTCTGTGTGAATTGGCCTCTTTTTGGTCATTTTTGCTTCTGTGCCACACCTGGGGCTGTTTAGGGGATTCCTGTTGGCTTTGCACTCAGGAGTTACTTCTGGAGGCTCCAAGGGGAGGTGCGGGAGTCAAACCTGGGTAGGCAAACGACCTACCCACTCTACTATCTCTCTAGCTCTCTAATCATGAGTTAGCTTTCTTTTTTTTATTTATTTTTTTATTTGAAAATGTTTATTATATATTTTCAAGATTAAATCAGAAAATCATGTGAGAGAAAATTTGAAAAATGGTCAAGCTTATTTTATTTTCTTTGCTTATGACAATTAGCTTTCTTTTTTGATAAGTCATTTTACCTCTCATTCTCATAGGACAGAATGAGATGATAGCTATGAGAGTACCTGAAAGAGAATAAAGTGTTATATGTATATGTGTGTTTATGTATATATGTATGTGTACATATACACATAAACATGTATACATACACATATATAAACATGTGTATATAAATACACATACATATATGCATGAGAATGTAAGGGTATATACAATTTTTACATATATAAGATATATATATTGTCAGCAATATATATATTTATATATTATATATGTGCAGATATAAATAGCACGGGGTTTTCTGTTTTTAAAAGTGAGACTCGGCTTTATAAATTATTTAAGCCCTCTGTTGGACACACCCCAAAGGGGGAAAAATAGCTATGAGAAAAAAAAAGATGGATAAGAAAATACTGCCAAGTCCCCAAATGCTTATGAAGCTTAAAACTGGGCTGTATATTTTGGTTTCAAAGCAGAGATTAAGTTCAAGAGAGACACAGGCTTGGGAACTATGGTGCAGAAAGAGCCTGCAAAATTTTATTATTCCCCTCCTTGTATTTAAAATGGCCTCTTTTTCTCCAGAGATCAAGTGCAGCGAATGAAGGCTAGGGAGCAAAGAAGGAACGCTGTATGGTAGTTCTTGGGGAGAGGAGTTAGTTCTACACCCTCAGAGAGGTCTGGGCCTTTCCCTAGAGGGCTGAGAGTTCCTGACATGGGGAGACAGCGCAGGGAGGAGCACCGATGGCTGCTATACAAGGAGGGAAAGGAAGCAGTCACAAACTCATTCTCATTCAAGAGAAATTGCTGCTGATCCTGAGCCACTGTTTTGTGCTTGCTTAGTCTTCCTCAGTGCTCTTATCTCTGCAACCAGGTTTGAGTACTCCTGGATGAGCCCAATGTTACAAAAAGGTGTTGCCTGATCCTACCTGACCAAAATGAATGAGGGAAAGGCAATCATGCTGTCCCATACTCTTCACCCTGATATCACCCTAAAGCACAGAGACCCATGTTTCAGAGTGACCGGAAGTGGAGCCTCCACACGAGGCCTTCTTCCCCCCAAGCTCTGGGTGTTACAGATTAACTCAGACCCTGGAGGCAGGGCATGGAGAATGCCATGCTGGTTACTGCAAATAGGCCATCCTGGCTTTGGTCTCTCAGGCTGGACCACCAGGGAGTTGCTGATCTCCCCATCATCTCCAACCAGCTTGGAGAAACAGGAATGGATTGGTCGTCATCCGTGATTTTACCTGCAGTCTTCAGGAACCTCTTCATCTGGCCTGTCAAAAAGCAAGTGCAGGTTTGGATGGCAGGGAACAAAGTTGACGAGGAGGCTGAACACTGCATGAAGAGAGGACCAAGCCAATGAGAGAACAACAGCAGCAACAGAAAACCAAACAAATCCTGCAACAGACCTGATGGGGGATGAGTCGCTGGACGTGGATGAGGTGGGCATAGGGCTGGATGGCGCCGAGAACATGGGCCAAGATGGCGAGAGGGGTGAAGTTGGGCTTGGATTCGGGGGGCTGCAAGACAGAACAACCAGAAAACTCATCAGCACACAAGGGAAACCACAGCAGGAGCACAGCGGCTCACGGAGTGCCACATGACAGGGAGCTGGCGTGGATGAGCGCTGAAGCCCAGCTGTGCTGCCAACTCGCGTTTCTCCAGATCAAACCTCCCTGTCTTCCAAGTAAGGCCTGTTCTAGAGTTCCTCAGAACAGTGCCGTGCCTCTCGACCCTGCAGGCTTTCTAGGCGAGAGGAAGCTTCTTCAGTCCTACCCACTGGACCCGGGGCATTGGTGGAAAACACCCTGACCACTGCATCCATGAGCGGCCCCACCAACTGTTAGCCTCTGACAGCGCCAGGGTGACGCTGTGTGAGTGTTTTTTAAAGTTGTGTCTCAGCAGAAAGGATTATTTTTCTGGGCCACATAGGCTATTTGGCCAGAAAACAATTTCCTGTTTACATTTTGAACTCAATGGGCGGTGTGCCATGAGACCCAGAGAATCATTAGAAAATGACGCGGCTGGAGTGGGTCTGGACACCCACCTCTGAGGGGGCTCCTTGGGGCTTGTTCACCTGCCCTTTCACTTAACGTGGACTTGGGGCATCTAAATAGTCAAAGAAAACATCGCACAGGGAAATCAATAATAATAATAATAATAATAATAATAATAAAATCCTCATTTGAAACCTTAAATCTATTTGACAAAAGAATCTACTTTGTCCTTTGATGGGTGACTGAAGAAATATTTGGAGAGGAAACACTGAAATTACCCACTGAAATATGGCTTGTGGATTTTATGGCTGGTCATGACCTTATTTCCACAAATTATGCAAACACTTATTTCAGCAACTCTGTAGAATCACATTAAGTCACCGGTAGTGCAAATACCCATGACTGAGAAAATGACAAGAAAACTACTGTTCTACCACCTGTAGTTCCCGATACTCAGCTGACTGCTGGATTGCTGAGTCCAACACTATCAGGATGAAGATGAAAACCATCCAATTCCAGGGGAACAGCCCTTGTATGCTGAGAAGGATTTAGCAAGAACACATAAATGGCTAGTGGGACATTCTCAATTCAGACATGACAGCTCTAATTACCTATAAAACTATATAATCAAACCCACTTTTTGAGTTGCTGTGATATTCCCAGACTAACTGAATAAAACATTTATCAAATGCTAAGAAATGCATTATTCTTATAGTATATAAATTCCGTAAGAGCAGGGGTTTGTACCTCTTTTGCTTATTGTCTCTCCTAAAAGCCTAAAATAGTGCCTATGGCTGGGGATGTAATTTAACAGAAAAGACACTTGTATGAGGTACTGGGCTTGATCCCTGACACTGAAAAAAAATGTGTCTATAGGTATTCAATCACACACACACACATACACACACACACACACACACACACTCATTTTGGGGGTGACACCCAGGGTCTATTCCTGGCACACTTCTCCAGCCTTTGAACAATCTCCCCAGACTCTCAATAAATAACTATTGAGGAAATTAATGCATCTCATTTAAGTCACACAATAAAGAGGTATTATTTTAATTTCCATTGCACTCTGTGGGAATTTGGGTCAGGTTGAGGTAACCTTTAAATGACAGAGTCAAGGTTCAGACTACTTCCCTGAGACCCCCAGCTTAAGGTCCACAACCCTTGCTGACACAGTGGATGGTCTCTGAGGTGGCAGGACTTGCTATTTCTCTCACAGGGCCATGCTTTTTAGACCCACCATAGAACCAGAAGATTTCAGTACTGACTTCCCTTTAGACACCTGTTTGCAAGGGAGAATGGGAATGTAGCAACAGACAGTTAAAACACACTTCTTTTTCAACAAAATTTCCAATTCTGTCTTCAAGCCTTCTGTGTGTTGGATTCATATAGCCTGTGGAGTGAACAGTGTAAAGTGAATTCAGAGGATGGTTTTGTTTTGTTCTGGGGCCTCACATATTGGTGCTAAGGGGCTACTCCCATCTGTGAGTTTAGGGGTTGCTCCCTGCAGTGCTCAGGAGACCAGGCAGTGCTGAGGACTGAACTTAGGGCTCCTATATGCAAAGCATGTGCTCAGACAATTGACTTGGCTCTCTGCCCCTGGTTTCCCCTCATTAATGTAGCAAAGACTAATGACTGTGCATTGAGTATGATCAAGACAGTAAGTAGAATACAACCAGCACTAGTCAAGGTCCCTTAGTTTAAGAGCAGAAGATGCATTTTACAAAATGGGACAGATGAAAAACAACACTAATATAAGAGAGTAGAATTCATCAACTGAGATAGCCTCTCTCACTTGATTCTGCTTTGAGTTCTGGGCAAACGCTGCCTCACTTCCACAATGCTGTCTGAAACTGCTTTCACAGCAGCAGCAGAAGAAAAGATTCATCACAACAAAGACTCTCCACAGAGGCAATAAACATGTGGCCAAGGCCTGGGTGATGAGTTCTGAGACATAGCCTGACACAGGAGCCCAAGTTTCAACAAGGATCGGCATGCAGATCAAGACAGCGGCCGGGGCCTGGAGTCCTGAATTAGCTTGCCTCTCTGGTTGATGGTCACCACAGGACAATTGAAAGTCCTTAAGACTTGATTCTGGAGGATATTTTCCCTCTTTTTTGGTGACTTTCATAACCAGAAACACTTCCAGCTTCTTACTCATCAGTATTAAGAGTGATTCCTTTGGCTAAAGGCATCATGGGAACATATTTCATGAACACAACGCAAATTCTGAGTGTTTTTTCACATCTTAGATTATCTGAATATCTTGGTCAGAAGTAAGTGGCCAGTAGGAATTATCTGGGGTGTGGCTGGAATGCAGGGAATGAATCATTATTTTAAGAACAAACTCTTCAAGCTCCATATCAATGAATATACTATTGCCTGTAATTTTAAAATAAAAAATAGCATTTTCTTGGTTTACTTGTTTTAGTCATAATAATAAGAATTATTTGCTATAAAATAACCATAATTTAAAATTTATTATGGCTTCATTTAAGAAAAACAAAATGAATATGTCACAGTACTTCGGATTTTTAAAATCACTATATGTCCATAAAGCTCACTGTCAACTCTACCCCTTGGACATCTTTGTACACCAAACTAATGTCTGCTTCAACAAAATGACTGTAAACATATAAATTCCCCTTCTAGAAATTATTATCAAAATTTTGATGTAATTCAGAGAACACACAGACTGGCAATAAGAGGTGATGATAATGGCCAAAGACTTTGTATAGTCTTAAATTCTCTTTTCTTCTATCTAACTACAGAAGAATCTAGCTATATATAAACATCATACCAAAATTATTGTCCTTAAAAATTCCAAGTAAAACAGACAAGCAAAGATAAAAGGTTAGTTTTACTACTGACTCTGAACCTCTGATATAAAATCCTCTAACTCTTTTCCCAGTAACGATGCCAAAGATAACAAATGTCTGAGTATAGAAGAAAATAATTTTATAACTGAAATTTTTAGCGATTCCTCCCGCCCTCCCCCCCCCCCCCCCGCCTCCACACACACAACCTATCTATAGAACCCTCAAGTCTAGCTGGGAGTATCTGAGCTGAACATCTGATAAGTATTCCTGGGGGCCTGCCAGATCCCTATATTAAGACCCAGCTACATCAATAATAACCTAGACATTAGCATGGAAAGATCATTGCTAGTGAGCACTGGATATAAGTGGAAGGTCTTGTGCTTTATTCTGCTGGTCCAGTATCCTCCATAGAGTCACACAATCACTATCAGTCCCTTTGGCATTCACCAGAGTGAAGAAATAATGGTTTAGGAAGACAAGGCTCAAAGGTCTGGCAGCTTGTAGCTGATAGTTCAAATACAGTGTGTGGCAATGTCATCAGCTTGACACCCTCCTCTGGTGACTCACTAGATGATGGAACGTCTAGAGGAGCGGCCAGGGCATGCCCATGCCACTGTGGTCAGGGCTGCATCGGAAGTCCCAAACCTCAGACACGGCAGACCCCTGACCTCCCAGCCAGCGAGTTAAAACCTGAGCTCGGAAGAGATCACTGGTGGGAGCGCTGACAGTGAAAAAGGAAACTAATCTTGTTTTAAGTTTGATGTTCAAAATTACACAAAGGCCTTTGAAAAGCACTGGAAAAATATCAACGAGGAAGAAAAGCAGTCAAACTATATACCACGAACCCACTGGTAATCGCTCCTCACATTTTGGACAGGGGTGGGGGGCAATAGTACATACATGGGTGCCTGTTTTTGTTTTTTCACTTAAAGCATTTTCCAGAGTCATGAAATAACCACTGATATCATATTTTCTATTGCAGAAGTATTCCATTGTATGCTGCATCCTGATTTATGTGCACATTTAGATCATCACCCCCTTTGCTATTATAGTGTCACGATTCATATCCTTGGTAGAGGATAATTTCCTCAGCATAAATTCCTGGAAATTAAATCAGCAGGTGAAAGGCCAGCAGGTTTTATTTTATGGGTCTTGATTCAACCCACAAAATAGCTGTGGACAGCTCGACTGAATTGTTTTCTCATCAAAAGTGTGTTGCACTTATGCCTTCTCACTAGTGTGGAGCAGGCGCATTCAAAAAGGTGGAATGATCTCTCTCTCTCTCTCTCTCTCTCTCTCTCTCTCTCTCTCATTCGCTCACTCGCTCTCTCTCTCTGAATGTTTCTCTCCCAGATCACAAACATTACCTCGGACCTTCCACTTTCCTAACATTTCCAATGATGTGAAAACAAACCAAGCAAGTATGATTCCTTTCCTGTGTGCTGTTTCTATTTGGAAGTAGTGTTTGATTTTCCAAAGAGCGTTTTGCCAAAAAGGTAGTATGGGTGGGAACCAGGGAGATGGAGAGTGAGACGGACAACCACAACCTGGGGGTGTCACGCCCCCTCTTCAGATGCCTGGGCTGCTTCAAGAAAGACAGGGAGAGGTGGATGTTTTCCTTAGGTCATGGCCTTTAGACAAATATGTTGAAAGGATGACTAAGTATGCTAGTGAGGGAAAGAGTAGTGTCAGCAG